AAACCTTCCGCTTGAGTGCTTTACTGCGGACGAACCTATAAGGAGAGAGGCCATATTCGAGAAGGACTGGGCGAGGGCGTCTCACCCTATCGCGTGGTATATGTCGACACGTTCAGTCTGTGGTGTAGCGGGATCTTCAGCCTTACTTACGAGCTGCCTCCAGAGCTCATCGCTACTCTCCCCACCAGCTAGGGCCAACTTGAACACCGATGCCCGAACGTCATCAGCTAGGCTTGTGTGGTCATCAAGGTAATCTAGAGTCATCTCGACACAGGAGGCAGCAAGGCCTGCATCCGACTGGCAGTGGATGGCTGCTAGAGAGGTCACAGCTGCTCTTAGTTGGCGGTCCTTTGCCGTATCAGTGTCCTTGAGGCGCCAACCGCACTTAGTTAGGAGTGGTTCAATCATACAGTGGACGAGCTGCTCGAAGGGCTCCTCCTTGCCGATACCGACACAGACTAGATGAAGAGCTCCTATGACTCTCACAAGGGCATCCCAGACATCGGGGTCGACCTCCTCTCTGTAAGCAAGGAGGACCTTGGGGATCTCCTCGGGGTGCACCCGCCCAGCCTTACATAGGGCCAGGGTGTCAAAGGCGAAGTGAATCCTGTTTGCCACGGGGAGCTCCTTGGATGTGATCGCTTCGAGAAGAGCATCAACATCAGCATGGCAAGTGTAATGGACTCGATAGGGTACCCAAGCACCCCAGTTGAAGGCGTGCCACTTGGAAGTAGACACCTTGACAGTGGTCTCTCTATCCTTTAGGAGCGTCAAACTCCCCAGAGAGGCTTCCGGGGTCTTATCATCGCCAACGAGGATCGGCACCACCCACTTCTTCTCCTCATCCCCCTCCTTCACCGAACCATCAGATAGGAACCAACTTTGTGCGACTCTACAGTTGCCATTGGAGTCACGAGGGCCGACCTCCAATACAGGGTAACCCATCTGGTCGGTCCATGAGTCCATCATCTCCTTCACGGGTTGGCCCGATACCTTCCATGGGTACAGTCAAAAGCATACAACACTCGCGTAAAATCATACCCCCTCCACGGCCTTCCAAAGATCGTCTGTAGTCGCGTTGCCATACCGATGCTTTCTCATATACAACTGTAATGCCTTCTGGAACTTCTCCCCACCAACGTAGCTCCATAGGAGCCTCACAACCGCCGAGCCCTTCCGATATGATATATAATCGAGGACCTAACGTGAGTTGGTATTCCTCCAGCAGGGCCCCTTCTGCAATACTCCGGGGTTCCCATAGAGTGGCTGCATGTGCCATAGGGGGAACTACCTGTTCAGCTTCTTCAGCACTATCTAGATGGACCACGATGGGATGGCTCGACCTCAGGCCGTCAACAGTTAGAGCTCCGTCGAGGGTGTCCGAGATGTACCTGATCCCAGACCAAAGTGCTTCGAGTGTACGGATGTTCCGATAAGTACATGTTCCAGACCCCTAGTTCGGGCTGTAGGGCGTCTGTACAGAGATACTGCATAAAGGTAGCGAAGCCCTCGTTGAGCCAGAGCTCGTCCCACCAATGCATCGTGACCAGATTGCCGAACCACTGATGGGCCAGCTCGTGGGCTACTACAGTGGCGACTCGGGCCATTCGAGCAACGGAAGTCTGATGGCAGACGACGATTTACTCAGTATTCGGAAGATGGTGTAGCCCTACTCTTTCAGGATCGCATAAGAGATCAGTTTCCCTGTATGTGACCAGGCCCCAATTCTCCATAGCTCCCATGGCGAAGTCAGGGATGGCTATCATGTCCATTTTGGGGAGGGCATATCGCATACCAAAAAAGTCCTCATACCTAATATGGGCAACCGAGAGACTCTTCCGAGGCGATCCAAGAGTACTACCATTCTATGGACTTAACACCGCAGTCCAGAGCATAGTGTAGAAGGTCCTTCTTGCCGGGCGTGCATATGGTTCGAACCTAATAGTTGCCACCGACTGACGGGGATGGACTGGGGTCTACGAAGGAGGCTACCAGAGTCCCATTCCGAGTAGTAGCCTGGAGGAACTCGAACTGGCCGATACAGAAGGCACAGAGGTAGGTGCTCATCCTCGGCGTGGGCATGAATTCCACCTTTTGATAAGGGATGGGGGAACCAGGGCTCCCACCATTGTACAGGCTTCTCGAGGCTTCGGGCATATTTGAGATAGCCTGATAGAACTCTGCGCGGCATATTTTGTTCTCATCCTACCTGCAGCCGCGCATCGCACGAGATGGTTATACGGAAGACAGCCTTGGCCTCGGGCTCATCCACACAAGGGAAGGCCCTTCGGGCATGGATGAGAGCGAAAAACGTCGTTCCCATATAACGCTGCTTGCCCGACAGGTCAATGTAACTGATGAACACCATCCAAGGGTCTCACTCGATATAAAAGCACAGAGGTAGAGCACCTTGTCCACTTACCTAGACCTGTAAAAGCCGGCCATTTGGTCATTGATAGTTCCGATATAGTCGACGTCAAGGCTCCCCGGGCCCTTAGGCAACTCCTCCCCGAACTCAAAGCTGACCACAGTAGACTCCGGCGAGAGTCTCACAGAAACAGCCTCGATAGGCTCACGACCAGATGGGGTAAAAACAACCTGAGACCTCCGATGGTGCCCCACCAACTATCGCCCAATACTACCTTGGGCTCGAAGGCCAACTCCTTCGCATGTAACTTGATAATAGTTGTTGCCTCCACGACAGTTAAGTGGATCCGTGAAGAGCCTTCAAACTTGAAAGTGTCCAGACAAGGCTTGATATGTATCTCGTATTCCGTTACGATGATATTGCCGGGTAGAACATCCGAACCAGGCATGCTGAATATTAACAAAAAATAACTGGCGTCAGAATCGAAAGGAGAATTACTATCATTCTTGGCAAGTTCACTCGTCGCGATAGCGATTCACTGTGAGATTCTCAACTTCACCTGAAGATATTCCCTCCCGAACGCGATACTATTTGCACTATATAAAAACTCATTGACTACCTCCTCACATGTGGAATTTCAGAAGACTTTCGATCAACACAACCATGGCTTTAGACACTCAAAACTCTCAGAGGGTATGCCAGAACTCCTTAGAGGCGATGGCACTCGACTTGGCACGCTCGACTAGGGCCGCGTTGGAGCGTATGTTCTCGACTATCTGCGAGATGATGCGGGAAATCTGAGGAGAACGAACAGTCACTCAAACGAGTGAACCTTTCGAGCTTACAGAAGTGAGTTCCTTCTCTTTAGCGAGCTTCTCCACATTATCAGCCATCTCGTAGGTCACTGACCCTCGGGCACAGCTGGAGACCACAGCCGCGAGCAGAGACGGGCTAGCAGTGGCAACACGGCTCCTACAGGAGTCAAAGTTAGCCACCAACCACTGCCAGATCAATTTGCCAGCCTCTGGTGTCGAGCTACGAACACTCCCCATGGGGTAGAAGAAGTCCTGTGGCTTGATGAAGTTGGTAAGGCACATGTCCAGAGTGCGCTTCTTGAGGGCCGGGCTGGCGATATACCCGAGGCTGAGATAGATGTCCATCCTACACCCTTGGGGGGTCTCATATTTCTCTGCCGTTTTGATGAGCTCCTTCCACAACTCCTCCCCAACGGGCGACTCGCTGCCTGCCAGGGCCAGTCGGAAGACCGGAACCCTGACGTCCTCAGCGAGGGAGTCGGCGTCCTCGAGGAAGCCACGGGTCATCTCAGCGCATTTAGCGGCGAGGGACGCATCGGACGAGCAATGCTGGGAGGCCAGGCCGGCTAGACAGGTCCGAAGTTGACGGTCCTTTGGGGTCTCACCGGCCTTCCTTTCCCATCCCACCTTCTCTAACAGAGGAGTAATCATACCCGACACCAACTTGTCCAACTCGGCAGTCCGGCCCAGACCGGTACAGATGGTGGACAGACCACCGATGAGGTTGGAAAGAGCATCCCAAACGTCCGCATCGACTTCGTTCCTGTAGGCCTTCAGGACTCGAGGAGCATCTTCAGGACTAACTCGTCCGGCTTTGGTGAGGGCGAAAATATCACCCAAGAGGTTGACTCTGTTGGGGACTGGGATGCTCATGTCAGTGACCCCGGATAGAATCTTAGCATAATCCTCAGCAGAAGTATAATGGACCCTATAGGGCACCCACGCACCGTAGTTGAGGAGGACCCATTTGCCGTTACCGACGTTGATGGTCTCAGACTTCTCACGCATCATAGTGAGTCTGCCCATCTCCCCCGATGGCGTCTTATCATCACCAACGAGGATCGGCACCACCCACTTCTTCTCCTCATCCCCTTCCTTCACCGAGCCATCAGATAGGAACCAACTTTGTGCGACTCTACAGTTACCATTGGAGTCACGAGGGCCGACCTCCAATACAGGGTAACCCATCTGGTCGGTCCATGAGTCCATCATCTCCTTCACTGGCTGACCCGATGCCTGATAGCTACATATGAAAGCCTCCCGATCATTCACAAGACTGACCTTTTCCAGAGCCCTCCAAAGGTCATCCGTAACAGAGTTGCCGTATTGATGGGTCTTCATATACTGACGGACCCCTTCAGTGAACTTATCCGCACCCACTACCGCCCACAGCTGCCTCACAGCTGCCGAGCCCTTCATGTAAGAGATTGCATCAAACACCTGCCCAGAACCATGCCAGTGCCTCAGTCAACTTCCAGCTGACCTGCTCAACCTCCTCAGCTTTATGGATCGGCACCACGATGGGATGACTCGACCGTAGACCATCCAGGGCTAGGGCCCT